TGTGGTAGTCATCTGTGGAGAGGGAAGGCATCTTGTTGCTAGTTAGCCTAGCGGTTAGCACCTTTCCAGGCTATTGAGGCTGTTCGGTGCCCAGACGCTGTAATCAGGCTTCAGCTGTGTGTAGGCCACAGACACACGGAGCGCTGAAGACAAAGTAACTATAAAAATTCTGGCCATGATGGAAGATGGCCTACTGTCCTGACTGGCTTTGTTATGTTGGTACAGCCTGCACCGTGTCAGCAGGATTACGGCCCGGTCCAGTCGCAGCGAGGCATCGCTTTAGGTCGGGAAAGAAAATATTGAAAGGTGTTTTTGGCAGATTGTTGTTTTAATCACAATCATTTCCTGTGAGAATATCCAAAAACAACATGCTAGTTCCTCTCATGGAGCTTCCTGACTTCCCCACCCTGACATCTATTTTTAGGTGTTTTATTTTTATTAACACAGTGAAGCTGTTCAGCACCTACTAGGTTTCCTCTTGAGGAACCTACTTTCAGGGAAGCTCAACACAGCCAACAAAAGCTAAACCCCCGGCAGAGATGATGGTTGCTTATCAGTTGTTTTTCAGTTCCTTCTGACAGCTTTTTGTTTTCTAGGTAATGGCGTCGCGCCTGTCATGGCTGACTCGTCACCCATAGCGCCCTCTGTGTCGCCCAAGCTGCATGCAAAGCCAGCTGGCCATGCTAATGGCCGGCCCCGCTTGGGCAGCCGGTCCGGCTCGCTAGCGATGGGCTCCCCCAGGCCCTCGCTCACCCGCCAGCCCAGCGCCATCACAGAGGCCGCTGTGGATGGGTCCAAGCCGAGGGACTACCTGATCCTCGCCATCTTATCCTGCTTCTGCCCAATGTGGCCCATCAACATCGTGGCCCTCACCTTCTCTGTGATGGTACGACTTCTTAGTATCATTTAAACCTCTCAGTTAACAGCAGCTCAGACAAATTTAGTCACAACCAAAAACGGTTTGATCTTTAAGGACAGCAGAGCTGACAACTCCAAAAACAAAAGAATCTATTTTGCATGTTGGTAACCAAGACAAAAGAGCTAAAATGGGTTTTTCCCAGAAGAACTCGGGCTGTAGAAAGAACCAGCGAAGGATAAATGAGGAATATTTTAGCTGAGAGCCTGGAAAGGTTTTTGGTGATGTCCCACAATAGAAATATGAAGCTGCAGGCAGAAAAACATTTATATAACATTTAAATTGTCAGTATCGAGTCGTCTGCTGTCTAATCTGGTGATTTTTCTTCTTCTTTTTATCTGTAACTGTTGTCTTGTTGTCCCAACCCAATCATATCATTACTTTAGGATGTTGATTGACAGTTTATTGCTTGTTTTCTTTGCTCTCTGCTTCCCTTCAGTCCCGAAACAGTCTGCAGCAAGGCAACGTTGACGGTGCTCGCCGTTTGGGCCGTAACGCCATGGTGCTGGCTGTTGTCTCCATTTTAGGAGGGATCGCCATCATCACAGCGGCCATCGTCCTGAACTGGGGATGTAAGTCTCACGATTCAGTCATTTTCTCCGCAAAAGCGACCTAAAGTTGACTCTACAAGCTTTTCTCGAATGTTCAGGATCATTAAAAATGTAAAACCAGCTTAAATCTGTGTGAATTTAATCTTTATCTCTCTCCAGTGATATTAAAATCTTGATTCAAACCAACCGGCACGGCGAGACTGACTTCATGACAACATCGAACCCGACACGACACCATTTCCTCCCGTTCCTGAAGCACTATCGTTGTCGAGCGCCTGCACCAGATGTAAAACGAATAAAAACCCGTTTCTGTTCTTCGCTGTTGTTTCTTGCTGCACGACAAGCATGGTCTGCCTGACGCTCTACCTCTGACACGACCGACAAACCCAATCCTGACGCCTGACACCTGATCTGGAGAAAAGGATGGATCACCAGATGCTGATTTCATTCTGTGGTAGCAGCTTATCTCCTCCTCAGACGCCACAATTACAAGAAGAAATGGACATCCTGGGAAAGGGGATTATTCAGATTCCTAATGGTCCGTAATGGTGCGAACTGGGGGACCTGGTTTGTTGCGTTTGATGCCAAAAATTTAGAAACGCAGCTGAACTGAAACGGGGAGAAGCTGCTGCAGTGACAGTTGAACTCAAACTGAGGATGAACTCTAAAAGTCTTTGAACTGTGACGGCAGGAGAGATCTTTGTTTCAGCACAGAGATGGACTTCCTCTGTTTCACTGTCTTTGTGAAAAAACCGGAGGCATGATTCTGATGTTTACTCTGCATATTCATGATAAATGTCCCCCGGAGCTGCTAAACATTCATCATGTTCCATCCGAGGTTATCAGAGACCGTGAACTGACCACAGACTGCAGGCTGTTAGCCGTGCTCGTCTCACTGTAAGCCAGTCCCTTAGTAATTAATGAATTATTCTCCCTGACCACAGTCTTTGGCTCTAAGTGGACGTAAAGTGATGGAAAGTTTCACATTATTCCTGATGTTCTCCAGGACTTCTATTCATTTGGGTGGTTGAGGTTACTTTTGGACTCCCCCTGAGTGCTCACAGAGATGGATCAATTCTTCTTTTCTCTCCGGCCTTTCAGTGTCAGTCTTTTACTTTAGTCTCGCATTCACAGCTGCTGCCCGCTTCCCTTTCTGTTAAGTGTTTTACTGCAGATACAAGAAGAACTTCCTCAACAACTTCCTGTATGAAGTTCTTTCTCAGTCTTCACTCAATAGCCTAAAATCATAATTCGGAAATATCTTTGTTTGCCAGTGTAACCCTCATGTTGGTAACAACCTTGGAAGGAGTTTGTTCATAGTTTTAGGAAGTGTTGGATCAGGTACTCACCTCTTTGCTGTGACAGTGGATGAACATGGTTCTTATAGCTACACAAGAACTGTGACAGCCGTGATCTTTGAGTGGTGCGAGGTTATAAGCTAGGCTTGTTTAGCATATGTCTGGATTGCAGTGCTAACCTTAAACTTAGGTAGTTCGACCTGGTGGCTGTTAACCCTCTGAGTTTTTAAATCTAACGCTATCAGAATATGTAATATTCTTTTAAATTATTCTCTTTTAAACTATTCTCCTGGCAGGAGACGATAACATTTTAAAACTATTTACATTTCTTCTCAAAAAGTCCTTTTGGCTTTTCTGAAAAACACAGAGTTAGGGTTAGTGATGTGCGGTTTCCTTTCCGATCCGATACCGAGTAATGTTCAGAGTGGTATCGACGATACTGATCCGATACTTTGTACAAAAACTTATTTATTGTATCTCAAATTATAGCATCATAATGATTACAGGACATCAGATTACGTGTTCTTATCACTTAATAATCCAGAGTTCATCATATAGAAATAAACAAACTGGAGTTATTTGAACACGTTGCCTGCCTGCAGCACTAAAGGACTCTGTGAGAGACGTCTGTCTCGCCCTAGCAGCACCTGTCCTTCTCCTCCTCTTCAGAGACTCAACATAAGCTCGTCATATCCTGTGATATGATTTACTCTGAGGTGTTTGACCATGTTAGTGATGTTGCCACAACCATACATGCCAACCCTCCCGATTTTTCCGTGAGAATCCCAAATTTCAGTGCCCCTCCCTAAAATCTCCGGAGCCACCATTCTCCCGAATTTCTCCCGATTTTCCACCCAGACAACAAAATTGAAAAACCATATCGCAGAATTCATAGCGCGGCCCAGCCAATTCCAGTCTCCAACAATGGCGGCAGCGACTTAGTATTAATATTACTCTTATTTCTCTTTCTGGGTCACAAAAAAACCTTTTAACATGTTTTCAGGTGAGAATGTAGCTGTGTAACCTTCACATATCTGACACATCGACTTCAAACCCCCGCGGTCTTTCACTACTCGGGTTAAACATGATGTATAAGTCACTTAGATAACTTAAAAATGTTATTGTTTGGCTTTTTCAGTGTTTCATTTGTTCGTGAGTAAATCGGTTTGGCTGAGATTAAAGTTATTAGATTAAATTAAATTTAACTTTATTAATCCCTCGGGAGGGTTTTCACACAGCTGAATAAACGTTAAACAGAAAACTAATTAAAGAAAGTGTGAGACGGTTGAGTGTTTACGCCAGTTATATTTTAGATAGCAAGGAGCAGACGGCAGAGTTTCACTCCACCGAGGGAGCTCGTGACGTACTACCCGGCTTTCTTTAGACCGCGAAGGCCGGGTCCTCAGGTGGAAGCAGCCTCTGAATTTGGACACCCCCGCTGTTTCCGGGTCGGCCAATAATAACGGTGACATTTAATGTATTTTATCGGATAAATAAACACTGTAAAATGTATTTATCCCCCCCCAACAGCCCTTTTGAATTGTCTCCCTAATTCTGAGGTCTCAAGGTTGTCAAGTACGGCCACAACACCTCACTTTTTTTGCCACATGTATCGCAAACCACGTCTCAGCTGTTTGTGGAGGTAAAATACGTTCGCACATGACTCCGATTACGCTCAGCCATTGTTGTGAGTGCGCTCGCCAGCAGCTGTGAGACATTTATACAGCCGTGTTTCACACATGACTATGAAAGGCGGAAGAGGAAGTAGTTCCTTTGAATGTAGACGATCCGAATGTTATAGTTTCTTTCCACTGTGTTCCTGTTAATGATAAACTACAAATTTACTCTAAATTACTAAAATATCGATATTTTCATGTGAGAATCGATTCTAGAACATAAATGATCGGTATCGGAGGAATCGATATTTCAGGATCAATCCGCACATCACTAGTTAGGGTTACCGATTATGGCTTAAACTGGAGGTTCACTTTGTCTGGTTATTGGATAAAACTGCAACATTAGCAACAAGCTATTTTTTTCTTGCAACCCATTTAAGCTCAGCGCTGCAGGTGGAATTGGTTCTAGCCAAGGCTCACGTGCTAAACTGTTACATTAGTGATAACATGAAGATGTTAGCTTTCATGTGACGTTTTATATTTCATATCTTTAGAATTTAGATTTTTGCGAGGCGTGAGGTTTTCTGGTTGGTTCTTCCAAATGACATGTGAATGTTAAGAGGTGAAGCCCCGGCTTTACTGACCTTTATGGGAAGCAAATGTGATTTTGACTGATCTATACCTTCCATCAGCTGGCTCGTTACCGTTCCTGTTTGCAGTGCAAATGCAAAAAAAGAGAAACGCTGCGGAGGACATGTGGTTCTCATGGGAACTCCTGAGTACTTAGAGTCTCCTGAATGGTTTGACCCTCTGGGGTCCAGGGTATAATTGGCCGTTTTTGACTACTTTTGATTTTACCTCTGCATTTCACCTTTAAAAGCTGTTTATCTTGCCTTCTTTGGTATCATTATTTTCCACAAACTCTGAAATTGGAGTTATTTTTTCATTTATTAGCACAATTGATCTAAACTCAGACAAAAAATTTAAATTTAAGTCATATTCTTTACTGTAAAACCCACAAACATGTTTAACGAATCATTTTCATAACTTCAATTGCAAATAGAAATTGTACATTTCTAAAAATTATGCACAAGTTTTGCAAACAACAAAGTTATTTGGTACTATTTACCTAAAAATGCAGCCAAGGCCTCAGGCGTTTTTATATAACCATTTAAATCTATTTACAGAACAATCAGGTGTTCTGCATCAAATAAGAAGGTACACATTATTTGTGCCAGTCGAAAAAACTAGTTTCTGTCCACTATGCCCGCTTTCTCTCGCGAGCGTCACTCCTCAAACCTCCCCCTCTCCCTAAACAACCAAATGCCACATGTTGCCATATCATCTTTTGTTTGGTTGACATGGTACAATGTAACACCAATAGGGACGGGAAGGGGTGTTTTTCTTTTTCCACTCGCTGTAAACATCACGGTTTTGTTCAGAAAAAACATTGCATGCATTTCTGATCATAACTCTGGTTTTACGTGGCCTATCCACACAATTTAAAAACTTGTATATAGTTTGAAGTCTTTCTTACAAGCCTTTCATTTTCCAAGTTAAACTATGCTAATGCTAATGCCCAAATCTGGTTAGTGTGCAGCTGTGAAACAGCTTTGGCATTATCAATCCATCCAACATTTACAGATGTTTGTGATGGAGTTTACAGTTTACAGTTGATGATTCTTCGAATCCACTGCACACAAAGCCAGGAGGGACTGTCTGCAGCCAGACACTGTTTAGGAAACCTGCAATCATGATTTTTATTGCTGTTGAAATGCGATTCTGGGCCACACACTCATTTTCAGTTGTCAGGTGTAGTGTGGTTATGACATGACCCCGTTTAGAGCACACTGGCTGTTTAACTGCTCGAGTTTTACACAGAAAACCTCTCAAAATGTTAATTTTGTCCTCGTCCAGTCACCGTTCTCTCAGCCGAGCCTCAGCGTGACGCTGTGCCAAATACCAGAGAGTGCACGTCAATCAGCACAGGACCACTTTCTCTTTTAGCCTCTCTGTGTGGAAATGTGTGCGTGCTAACAGAAATTTTGGGGGTTCTTTGAGGATATAAGCTGTTGTTGTGGAACTAAATCAGCCCTTCATCTCCTATAACCTGTGCATGCTTGGAGTATTTATTACTGAATGCTTTTATACAGACTGTAGCCTCAGTTAGCAGGCGAGCTAACTGAGTAGCACTATGTAAATAAACATTGTGGGATGTTAATTGGAAGGTAACCCATTAGCCGGTCTAGGTTTGTCACTGAGATGTGACTGCAGTCACCTCGGTGCCAAAAACACGTTTGGACTGAGAGCCAATCAGAGTGTACAGGTAAGGTCAGGTGAGGTCAGGCTCAGAGGTGGGGGAGGAAAGGAGGGTCTTGTAGTGCTGCATTCATGTCATATTTCACAAATGTTATTAGTTGCATCATCGACTGTGTCACTGCAGAGGTGGTCGTTTAAGGATTAGATGTTTGTCGACAGCGTCACAACATTTGTTAAATATAGAATTTTATTCACCGCGGGTTTCATCGTCCGTATTTTCACACAATCAGAAACGTGTCGTAAACCAACACAAATACTTCCAGTATGACATGAATGCAGCACGAGGTCCCGTCCGTCCCATTCACACCTTCACTCCGCCCACTCTGTATGTAGCATGCCTGTTTACTAATCACATTATGCAAAAAATAAATTGTAAACTAAAAAGGAAAAAAAAGGCCTGGCTCGTTATCAGTACGAATGCTAGCTTTGCTGATTCCTGCTGTGGTGGTGTACTCTTACACGGTTTCACACGGACTTTGCTTGCGCTACCTCTCAAAGCTGCCTACTATGTTTTATTAACCAACCGCACATCACACGGTGTCACCGATTTCTAAGTGACTGTTAAATCTTTGTGCTTCTGTTCCTGTGAGAGTTTCACTGCAGCCGTTGTAATTCTGATATCTACATGCAGGGTTTTGATTGTGAACATGTTTCCACAAATCTATACGTTTCTTCATTTGTTCAGCAGCACAACTCGTGTAAATAGAAAAATCTCTACAACATACATTTAAACAGGAAACTGTGTTATAAGAATCAAGCTGTCTTACACCGAGAAATGAAAAGCTCTGAGGAAGATTTTGGTAACCAGCATTTATCATCGTTAAAGAAACAATTAGTAAAATAGTCTTGTTTTCTAATTTAGAAAAGAAATTTTTAAGAAGATGCCATACTAGCTGTTTTAGGTTCATTTTTTTGAAATCTTTCTTATGCCTCCTCCGGCTAAAACCCACTGTCTTCTGATTGGCCAGATTCTGGAAGCCTGCTGAGGGTCAGCAGCAAGCTACACTCGCCTTACTTTGGGGTGTTTTTTGGCTGTGCCCAGCACGATGTCATAATCCAATAAATGTAAAAGTTTTCAGGTAATATTTGATGACATGAATGACCCCAAAGTTCAAACCCTGAAAACAATCCAGTAAAAGATGATCTCAGAACATCTGAAACGTGCCTTAAATTCTGCGCTTTTAGTTGCAATCCCATGATATCGTAACATAAATAAATTTAAATAAAAGTCAACACAATGTTGAAAACATCCATAAGCATATGTTTGACTTGTTTTTGGAAAACTTGGCCATGATTAATATGAACTTCTAATTCCTTAACATTATAAATTTACAGAAAATGAGTCCGCAGTGAGTAGCTAGGTTCTTCAGTCGGGAAGCTAACATTTTATTTGACAGTGCAAAGTGTGGGAGGCTGGCATGCTAGCTAACAAATCTAGATACTAAAGAATGCTTGAAAATATTTATATATTATTTAGAAAATTTGCGATTT